TTGATCCCTCTTTCTTTCCCCCTTGTGAAGTTAGAGGTCAGAGGATGCTGCCCCCACACTCTTTTTGCACCTTAATTTATACAGGTCATTGCTATTCCCTGTCAAGTTGATTCCAACTCACTGTAGCTGTGTGCGTACTGGAGTGTAACTGTGTTCCCTGGGGTTTGTAATGGCTATGACTTTCCGAAGCAGATCACCATGCCTGTCTTCTGAAGCTCTTCTGGTTGAGTCCAACCACCAACCTCGTGGCAAGTAGTCAATAATTTAACCGTGAGTACCACCCAAGCTCTCCACTTACACAGACACCCATTACACATCCATGAGGGGAGGCTTGTGCTTGACTATTGACCTAAAGGAGGTGGTTTGAATTCACCCAGTGGCCCCACAGAAGTCCTAGTGGTCTGCTTCCGTGAAGGCTACAGCCAAGAAAACCTGATGGAGCAGTTCTACTCTGTACCACCTGGGGTACAGAGCTAGAATTCACTTAATGGAAGTGGGTTTGTTTTTGTCTTATATACTCATTCACATATAAACTTCTGAAAGAACGTCACCTTCCTTCTTTGACTAACTTCCAGGAAAATCTTAACTTATCTTCAAAGACAGCTTTTTCCATTGATCTCTTTGGCAATTTCATTCAAATGATTTAGTTTTAAATAAACTTTTGAACTTATTTCTAGGTACTAATGGGGCATGGAGGCGGCATCTTCTGACCTCCTCTAACTTCACAAGAGGAAGACAAAATCACCATCTAGCAGCCCAAGGCCTGTTCCTATGAGGCCAGGAGTGCCGCCACCCTCCAGCCCTCATAACAACCTTGACACCAATGGTCCCTCCTATAGCACCTACCACCTCTCTGCTGGGTTTGATAATTTGCTGCAGTGGCCACACAGAACGCACAGATTATGGGGTTTACTAGGAAAGCAACAGGCTACAAATCAAGTTCAGGAACATGCTCAGTCTCTCTCAGCCGGCCATCTCTCTCAGCTAGCCATCTCTTCTCAACCAGCCATCTCTCTCTTAGCTGGCAGTGGGAGAGACAGACTCCTTCTGCCTCTAGAAGGGCTCATTTTGAGCCTGTCAAGAGTGGCAAAACCAACCAATCCCAACATCAGAGTTCTATACACCTGAGAGCAAACTTTCCCAGAAGATAATTTACTACACTGTAAGCCACTCCCTGGCTTTTCTAGCCATTACCCCCCTTTTACACTTCAGAAAATAACATCCCCTTCACCATTAGTTTAAGTATAATCACATCCATGAAAGTGCATAAGCGAGCACTTCATGGGTTTATCTCCCCCCCATTTTAAACAGCCAGTTTCTAATTTGCCCATCCCTATCAAACCAGTACTCTGAGGAGATAAGCATTTTCCTTTCTCTCTGAAGAACCTTTTGTTCTGCATGGAAACTTTGGGCATCTGCATCTGTAAACAAGCAAATCATCAAACTGAAGCAACTTAACATCAGTTCAGTGTCAAACATCTTCCTCTTCATGTGGTTGGGTTCTGGTCAGCCCTAGTTATCCCAGCTAGGTCATGGGTACCAGCTACCAAGTTTTGGAAGTCACACTCTCCCTTTTACTTCAGACCAGCCAGCACCTTCTCTCTCTCATCCTTAGTCTTCAGGCACTAGTTTCACACAGTGAACTTTTACTTCAGACTAGCCAGCCCTTCCTCTCATCCCCAGCCTCCGTGGGCTAGGTCAAAGAGTACCAAATTCAGCCTATTTCTTCATTGCTGCACTTCCCCCATTTCCACTCAAGTGGACCCAGGTGGTCACAAGTGAGTAGCACACAAGCTTATTACTCACTGGCTTCCTTTAAATTCCAGTCCTGGAAGGGGTTTCTCTCATGGATCATGACTTTCCTGCACTGATGTACCCAAAGCCAAGCTGCTTGCTTGAAATTCAGAAAGCCAAACAGTCATTTTTTCCTCCATAGGTCCTGTCTTTAAATGTACATCTTCTGTTCTCTCAGTAATTCTTCTTCTATGCACAAGGCTTGAAACAAAAGACTGTGCATTTCCTGGGAAAATTCTATTTTCCCTTTTAAATTATCCAATCAAGTATTGGCTGAAGGAAGACTTACACATTTTCTGTTATCCACACTCCATGATCATTTCTAATGTACAAGTAGGTAAGAGAACATTCAATACCCGTAGTACATTTAGATAAACACATAATCCAAAACACACAATCACTTTTAAAACATTCCAGTTTCACCTCTTCACCTTAATTATCTTCCCATTCTATGTATATGGCCTTGGGCCTTTGGCTGTGTGTAACCAAAAGCCCTAGCCTCTGGATCAATTATCTCCTTTCTTAGGTAACACCAACCAAAGTAACCATCTAAGAATCCAAAGTTTCACTTCCCAGGTCCCTTCCTTCTTTCTTTTACAAAGTCCCATGCTTCTGTAAGTCTGGAGACACAGCAACGAATCCCACTTCTGACACCAACTGCTAAAGGGGCACAGAGGTAGCATCTTCTGACCTCCTCTAACTTCACAAGAGGAAGACAGACTCACCATTGGCAGCCCAAGGCCTATTCCTATGAGGCTGGACATGCTGCCAACCTCCAGGCCTCTTAACAACCTTGACACCAACCGTCATTCCTGTGGCACCCACCACCTCTCTGCTGGGTTTGGTAATTCGCTGTAGTGGCCATATAAAACTCACAGATTATAGGGTTTGTTAGGGAAGCAACAGGATACAATTCAAGTTTAGGAACGTGCTCAGTCTCTCTCAGCCAGCCGTCTTTCCCAGCCAGCCGTCTCTCTCAGCTGGCTGTCTCTCTCAATGAGCTGTCTCTCTCAGCAGCACGTCTCTCTCTCTCTCAGCAGTGCTTCTCTCTTGCATCTCTCTCCTGTCTCTCTCTCAGCCATGCATCTCTCTAAGCCAGAAGTGAGAGAGACAGAGATTCCTTTTGTCTCTAGGAGGGCCCATTTTGAGCCTGGCAGAGTGGCAAAAGCAACCAATCTCAACATCAGAGTTATATGCACCTGTGAGAGAGCGAACTTTCCCAGATTACTTCGTGCTGCCCCAGATGGATGACTTTAATAAGCAGCTACTCAGTTGCTCATGACAAAGGGGGAGTTACAAAGACTGTGGCTAGAAAAGCCATACTGTGTAATTTACTACACTGTACCAGGGTAAACCCAGATCAACTCCACAAGAGTCTGTCTTGTAAGAACGTGAATCTGAGACTAGATTGGCCAATACCTGGAGGTGTGAGCAAAGGTGGTCGCTCCCCTCACATAACAGCAGCTGCCATTTCAGATTTTCCTTTCAGGTGGAAACAGGGTGCAGAATGACTATTTAGGTAACTCAATTATCTTCCAAAAAAAAAAGAAGGAAAGAAAATACCTAGTATTATTCTCTAATGCAATACTTCCAATTTCAATCTTTATTTTTTCACAAAATGGCTACAGGGCAGCACCTCAGGGAGAAACGCGATTAGATGCCAGCTGCATAAAAGTGTCATTTACCTTACTATTACTATGAGCAAGAACTAGCGGCTGAAATATTGGGTCTTGAACAAAATAAAATAAATTATTTTTATTCTACAGTCTTGTTATTCTAAGAACTCTAAGTTCTAAGACTTATTATTTAATGAACTCAAAAAGTAGAGTAAAAAAAAATAATGACTCAAGCAAGAAGAATTTGGAAAATGAAACCATTACAGCACAGATATAATTTTAAATCTACTTACCTCTGCACTGGAAAACAACAACATTCAATACCAGAAATTCTTTAGCAAAATTGAGTGAGAAAAGACCCTAGTCTAGTACTATTAGGCTTCCCACCCAATATAATTCCCAAATATTAAACTCCTCTGACAGCAGGCATTTCTAAGTGATACTGAGGTCAGGTTCCCTTCTTATGAATCTCCTTTCCTATAGGAGCTTGGAAAGGAGTTCTGGTGGTGCAGTGGTTAAAACACTGGGCACTAACCAAAAGGTCAGCAGTTCCAACCCACCAGCCACTCCATGGGAGGAAGGTGAGGCAGTTTGCTTCTGTAAAGATTTACACCCTTGGAAACTCCAGGGGGCAGGTCTACTCTGTCTTACAGGGCTGCTATGAGTGAAATTCACTTGATGGCAGTGTGTCTGTTTGGTTTTGGTTTGGTGTGGACCTTGGAAATTCTGTACAAAGATCAGAAGAGACATTTTTATGTTACATGATCAGGACTAAGGTCTCATGTAAGAAAACAGAAGTGAGAATCTCAGAAATTCCAAACTGATGAAGATCTGACAATACGTATGTCGACTACTTTTTTATTCTTTTAAGAATTTGGTCCAGAATCGTAGAAATGTAATAGAATCAGTGGTCAACATGACTTAGTGTTTCCCACCAATTCCACACAGGACTATTTGGGGTCATTTACCTATCATGCAAACCCAGAATTCCAAATTCTCCTGTTGACCTAACTTGCAGATCTTCCTGGATTCTATCAAGAGAGAATCTGTCACTGGTGCAGAAGGTGGACCTACACATAAGTTTCTTCGCACAAATCAGCTCTATCCTCCAATGGCTATCACTGATGCAGGCCAAGCCTGAGGGGCATTTTCTGTGTTCTGCTGTACACCTAGGTTCCAAGAAGGCACCCTCAGAGCCAGGACCAAGGAGACCAACACCCTGCCTCAGTCAGAGAAGCCCCACATTTGCATACTGCAGCTCTTTGTAGGATTTAACGTTAAAACAAAGGTCCTTGCATTTAATAACAAGACAAAATGCATGACCCTAGCAGAAATCCCCTGTCAAGGGAGGGCAGAGCTGAAAGAGTCCAGTGATGTTCCTGGGGCCTCAGAGCTCAAGTCTCCTCAACTAGCCACCCCCAAGTCCCTGCCCTGCCACTGGGTCCTGGTGCCACTCCTGACACACAGCAACTGTGTGAACTGTCGGTGACTGACTAACTTATAGACAGACAGATGCAGGGGCTACTTCATGTCAGACTAGAGACTCTAGTGACCTTCACTCTCCCCAAAGCCAGCACTGGCTGCAATTACCTTATCGCTGTCCAGTGTGTTTTGAGATGTCCGGGAGGCGATGGAAATTGTGTCAGGCTGGCTGCTGCCATCCCCTTGGCTGTCTAGGTCCTCTCCATCCCTGGGGACACAGAGAGACTTTCAATGCCTGTCATGCCTGGGTTCCTTTTCAAGGTTTCTGAAGATCATCTCCAGCTCATTTGCAGGAAGAATACGTTTACTTAAAGAGGTGTGAATTGGCCTGTGAGACTGACCATTCTATCATGATGAGTCTCTCCACGAGCCAGGGTTTTGCCACGCACTGTGCTGAGTGTCTTATTGTCTCATCCCACGCAACCCTCACAATCTAATATTAAAATACAGCTGGTATGCTTACTGCCATTTGGATGCTATATGACTTTGCCATGCAAATAACTTGTCCAAGTTCACACGACCAGGAAGACTGAGTGGGGAGATTTAGATCCAGGTCTTTCTAACTCCAGAGCCCATGCTCTGAGCACCTAGGCCATGTGCCTTCCACACAGAGCACTAAGCAGGAAGTGCCAACAGCTCACAGTGACGCCCTAAGCAGGAAGTGCTCACAGTGACACCCTGCTTTACCTGACACAAGCCAAGGGCCTGGGGCCCAGCTACAGGGAGACCCTGGTGGATCAGACGTTTGTAGTCACATGGGGAACATTATGGAGTGAGACGTGATCCACACGTGTACAAGGAATACCACTTGGTGTGGGGACGATTCGGGGTTTGCATGCGGCCCATCACTGACTGTGAGGCACAGTGGCGCGTCTTGACAATACAAACACACTACTGACATGGTGCTTAATACAAACTCTAGTTTAGAAAACAATCCTCAAAACATTTGAAAGACGATTTTTGGAATCAACTAGAGGGGGAGTATATCAGCACCATAAGTTAATAAGTGTTCTTTCTGCTCTAGTCAATAAAGCAACTGAAATAAAAGCCCCACACTGACCTCCTGCCCTTCTGCCTCGTTGCTGGGGCAGTTTTGGGGATGTGGATTGGCTCCTTGAGGGCTCCCTTCAGGTGGACGGTCCTCTCCTGTATCACTTCTCGAATGTGCTTTATCCAGTCCTGTTTGTTCTCGATGCTGGAAGCCTTAGGAAGGTGGGAGACTCAGTCAGGAGACACAGGAGCCTTTTCAGACCTGCACTAACCCACTCACCTCTCCCACACTCCCAGAGAGATCTATTAGAATTTCAGTGCTTGGTACAAATGGTTGGTTACACAAGCTTACAGAGAAATATCTGAGATAAGAATCTTTCAGCAGAAAAGAAATCCCATCCCATGTTTCATATGCCACCAGATACATGACCCTCGTTTAATGTATTTGTTTTCATCAATGCCATTTTTATTTTAAAGCATACATGTTATTCCAGACCTAAGACTATCCCAACCATTGATCTCAAGTCCTTTTCAGGCACCCCTAGGTGAATACGAAACCAAAACCTTGTTTAGGCTGTTTGTTGTCGTTGTTATGTGCCGTCGAGTCGGCCCCAACTCATAGCGACCCCTCTTTGGGTTTCTGAGGCAGTATCACTGTGGAAGTAGATCGCCTCATCTTCCTTCTGAGGAGTGGCTGTTTAGGCAAAGCCTATGTCAGTGGCTGCCAACCAGTCTGCAGGGTGTTTACCACCTGGTCACTGGACTGACATCAACAACAGTAGCCATGCTACCAGTGCCCCGCGGGCCATGCTGAGGGCTTTCTGTGCAGTTTCTCATCATGCCCACAAGTACCCCAATGAAGGAGAAGGCTCCAGGACCCTTGTTTTATGAATGAGGAACTGAGGCATGGACACAGGAAGAAATCTGCCCCACGGCTGGCAGGTGAAGCAGCTGGAATTCCAGGCTTCTGAGGCTGGGACCTACCTCCACTGATACCACAGAATGAATGAGAACCAATCGTGGGGGTGGCCTTTACCGCAACGCCCCTGTAGCTGTGGCAGAATGTGCTGGGAAAAAGACACAGCAGGCTCTCCCAGCACCTGCTGAACGAGCATGCATGACATTGCTTTGCCCGGGTTTTTATCTCTAACTCTGCCTCAAAGGAGGTAGGATTTTTTTTTTTTTAAATATGCTCCAGGCCTTACTAACCATATTTTTTTTTTTTTTCCCTTATGGAAACTATCAACTTCCTATGATATAAGCATGACTTCCTATAAATGATTAAAACAACTGTCAGTGGGATTCCAGATGAGATCACAGGGGAGAGAATCCAACACTTTCTCATTGTAGATCTTTTTTCAAAAAAAAGAAAAGAAAATCAAAGCTCACGCTGAGAAAGGAAATGAAAATTGAAAACCTTCTCTCTGAACAGAAATATTTTCACTGGCAGATGTCTTTAACATCTCTTTGGGGGTGGAATGGGGAAATAACTGAAAGAGAAAAGGCAGCCTCCTGCTCCCTGCTCAGATCTGCCAGGGGTGGGAGCAGGTAGAGGGCTGGTGATGAGGCAACCCTTGAGTTTGGGGTCAAATTATAGTGTCTCAAAGAGGGGACACTAGGAAAACACAGATCTATTAGAATTTCAGTGCTTGGTACAAATGGTTGGTTACACAAGCTTACAGAGAAATACCTGTATAAGAAGGAACATTTGGCCTCGACTCAACAGAAATTTCAATTTGTATCTTTCTACAGAAGAATTTATTCCTCTAGCTACAGTAAATTTACAAACATGAACCCCATAGGTCTCCACCAATCATAATAAGAACAATTCATAAAACAACAGAAAAAAGTTAACAAGCAAAATCTCTCTAAGCATGCTAAAAACAAAAGAAAACCAGAAAGAAACAATGAACATTTGGCAGAGTCGGGAAACAACTAAGGAGACATTCTGTCAACATGGGTCAGAAATGAAGAAACATTTCATAATTTAAAGGAAGTAACTTTTTGGAAAGTAATTACATTTATGAGAGTAATTCTCCCAACCTTAAATAAATTAAACAAAGAAAGTAGGTGCCAATTCCTCTGAAACAGAAGAAAGTATCTCAGCTAAAATCCTAAGTAAAAGGTCTCACTTGGCCAAGAGAAAGAATGATTTGTTTCATTCTCTTGGAGTTCCAATCTGTTTAAGTATTAAAATACCCTGGATCCAGACCATGAAAAGAAAAGATGCCAACATTTTGCTTCATAACTACTAGGCTACCACCATCATGGCCATCATCACCACCACTACCATAAGGACCATCACTAGGAGCACTACTGGTAGCACTACCATTGACCCCACCATTACCACTGTCCATCTATACCACCATTGTCACCTGCATCTACACCATCACTAGCACCAGCACCACCATCTCGTCCACTGCATCTACACCACCATCACTACCACTGCTACATCAGCACCACCACCAGCATCTGCACCACTACACGTATACCATCATAACTACCACCAGCCACACCACTGCACCAATACCATCACCATCACCACCACCATCTATGCATCTATACCACCATCACCACCAGTACTAGCTACACCATTACCACCTCAACTACCTACATCACCACATCTATACCACCATCACAACTATCTAAACCATTATACCAGCTCCAGCACAACCTCCATATCGACATTACTACACTATATCACCATCCCTGCCAGTAGCTCCACCACCACCATCTTCACTACGTACACTACATCTATACCATCACCCTCTGCACCGCCACCACTTCCACCATCTGTATCACTGCATCTAAATACTACTCTCTATGCCATCACTACCACCAGCCATACCAATGCCACCAGCCACATCACCACCATCACTTCTACAATCCCCACCATCACTACCACCACTATCACCAGCACTAGCACCAGCACCACCTCCATTGTTCCGTAACCACTCACACCAAAGATAATCTTTATAATTACTGAGAAAAGCATTCCTTTCAGTCCCTCTCTGGAAGTCAAAATATCTTACCCAAGATTATCTATAAAACTTTTCATCTGATATAGCCTGTGCAAAGTCTTGTAATGAATCTCTTATTATACACCAAATTAAAAAAAAATCCTTATCTGGCTCAAATATGGGGCACATTTCTTAGATATGCTCTGGTAGCATAGTGCCTAAGGCACTCGACTGCTAACCAGGAGGCTGGCGGTTCAAACCCACCAGCCACTCCTCGGAAGGAAGGTTGGGCAATCTACTTCTGTAGTGATACTGCCTTGGACACCCAAGGAGGGGTCGCTATGAGTCGGGTCGGGTCGACTCGACGGCACATAACAACAACAACATTTCTTAGAAGCACCTTTTAGCATCTGCAACTGCAGGTAACAGCAATACTTTATTTAAACTGGATGTCTTAAGGCCTTGGGTATACAGTAAAAATTCTACACGTTAGCAAAATTCAGTTATCTAATATTTAGCTATCTGAACAATTTCTATTTTCCAAGGCTTTCTGCCAGTACTAACAAGAGCACACTAGGCTGGTAATTACAGATTCACTGCAAATCAATCCATCATTGCACATGTGAATAAACACCTTAGTAACACAATGGCTCTCATGTCACTAAAGCAAAGGCTCTGTAAGAGTGACAAGCAGATGAATAACTCACAGATTCTGGAAATACCAAAAAGAGATGAAAAGGTATGGAAGAAACAAAGGAGCTGACAAGCCAGATCACATACCGGAGGCCCATTAGGCTTCTGGCTGGTCTCAACATTCTACAAATCTCCAGCCACATCTTCCCCCAAATACCCCGAGGCCACTTATGGTCTTTCCAGGCAGCTTAGAAAGACAGTTACATCTGTGTTTTCTCAAACACAGAAGGAGGGATGTACGTAAGACACCCCTCACAGTGCTCTTGACCATTCCTGTGGGAGGTTAGTGTCATTAGAAGAGAATTCAAGTCAAATACTCAGTTTCTTCTCCCCCACGAACTACACAGCCAGAAGCATCCTTACTGTGTTTTGAATGCTTTGTATCATAATATACCAAACCTTCATAATCACTCCTATTTTTTTCTGCCCCCAAATTAGAAGCCAAGGAACCTAAGACCCCATGAAGACCTTTCAAAGCCCTTCATTCCATCAGGTGCCTAGTCTCTCTGGAAACTCAAGATCAAGCATGCCAGAATCCACTGGAGGCACACCTCGTGTCATGGCTCTTCCCTTGAATGAGCTTTGCGGATAATACACTTTTTATAAATTGAAGGTTTGCGCCAACCCTATATCGAGTAATTCCACTGACATGATTTTCCCAACAGCATTGTGCTCTGTGTCTGTGTGTCACATTCTGGTAATGCTCATAGTATTTTGAACTTCTTCATAATGGTATTGCACACTTAACAGACCACAGTACAATGTAAACCTAACTTTTTATGTACTGGGAAACCATAACCTCTGTGTGACTCAGTTTTATGAGATGCCCACTTTATTGCAATGGTCTGGGATGGAACCCGCAGGATCTCTGAGGTCTGCTGTGATTCTGTTTAAGACAAAGAATGGGGGAAATAAAAAAAAACTTCTCTCCATTTTCTCTGTTAGTAGGAATGTCAAAGTTTACCTCGAGTTACCTCACCACTGGAATAACAAACTGGATTAATGCCATGATTTTTCCATGCTCATCACCCATCCCAACAGGACACAAAAGGAACAAATAAAATTATATGATAACCAGATGTTTCAAAACCAGGAAAAAGGGCACACGGAACTATAACAACCCTTTCACACCACACATTCCCAAGTTTCAAATGAACGTACCTTAAGGACAATTTTATTATCGGAAGTTGGTGTTCTCCCCACCCACAGTGCAAACTTGCAAGGATCCCCTTCAACGTGCTCCGTGACACCCAGCTCTGAGGTCTGCATGAAAAGACAATCAGATAATTAGGCTGCGGGGAATCCTGGCAGGATGCAGAAGTCAGACCAGGTCTCGTTTCTGGCTACTTGTGGTCAGGCTGTTACAGTAACACAGTTCACTTGCCTAGACGGGTCATCATTCTCAGATTACATTTATTTAAGATGAGAATATTTCCTTCTTGGTTGGTGCCATCCCTCTTCACTTCCTCTGAGCATCTCTCCTAAGGAGCTCTGGTGGCGTAACGGTCAAAGCATCTAGCTGCTAACCAAATGGTCAGCAGCTTGAACCACCAGCCACAACATGGGAGAAAGATGAGGCAATCTGCTTCCATAAAGATTTACACACAGCCTTGCAAACCCCATGGGGCAGTTCTATGCTGTCCTAAGGCATTGCTATGAGTTGGAATTGACTTGATGGCAGCATCTTTGATAATTTGGTTTTGAGCGTCTCTACTGGTGATCCCAAAATAGGGTCAAAGTGTAAAACCTCTAGAAGAAGGAAATACAGAACAATCTGGAAAATCTAGTCAACTACTTTCAACCCGATGAATAATTAAACAAGCTTTCCCCTGTTCCAAAGAGCTGTCACCATGTATATTCACCATTAATGAAGTCACTCCACACAAAGCAGAAAGTATTTTAGTGGTTAAGTAACTGTCCAGAATGTTTTGAGAACTTCACCAGTAATTTTAAGGACTAGAAGATAAAACTCTTCCCTGTAATCTACGCAGCGGTAAAATCTGCCTAACACGGCAGAGCACAGGTGAAGGGCCCCTCAAGGAGTGAAGCACTAATGATTCCTCCTTCAACGAAGGGCATGGTCCACAATCTATAGCTGCAGAGGCGGCCTCAGGGGCAGTTAAATTAAACGAAGGTGTGTGAGCTTTTAAAACAGATCAGCTTGGCCTCTGAGGGCAGGTTAAAGCCAGCTAGTGAAATTACAAGCCAGTCCCAGTGCGCTTCTCCTTTGCAGTTAGAATATGATCAGAAATGATGTAAGGTCAGCTGTGCTCCAACAGATGACCTCAAACAGGATGCAAGCCAAAGAAAATGGCACAAAACCATTTCTCTGAACTTACAAATTACAGGTTATTATTGTGATGACTGATAGACACTCAGCAGTATTTCACCTTTGGGAATTTGATTAATATGTACGTTTTGCTATTGTTAGGTGTTGAGTCAGTTCCAAGTCACAGCGATGCTATGTACAACAGAATGAAACACTGAGCCATCCTCATAAGCAGGTTGGAGCCCACTGTTGCAAACGCTGTGCCCCTCCATCTCGTTGAGGGTTCTTTTTTTCAGCGACCCTCCACCTTACCAAGGATGATGTCCTTTTTCCGAGTTCTGGTCCCCCGAATAACATGTCCAAAGTATGTGAGACAAAGCTCCGCCATCCTCAGTTCTCAGGAGCATGCCTGGCTGGACTTCTTCCCAGATACATCTGCTCATTCTTCTGGCAGCCCATGGTATATTTAATATTCCTCCCCAAAATCATAACTCAAAGGCATCGATTCTTTGTATTTCTTCATCTGTTGTCCAGCTTTCACATGCACATGAGATGAATCCTCTGAGTGACATCTTTGCTTATTAACACTTTCAAGAGGTCTTTTGCAGATTTGTCTAATGTGGTATGTCGTTTGATTTCTTAATTTCTGCTTCCATGGGTGCTGATCTGATCCCACTCAAGTGAAATCTTTGGACGCTTCAATTGTTTGTTTATCATAATGCTGTTTATTGGTCCGGTTGTGAGGATTTTTGTTCTCTTTGAGGTGAATCCATATCAAACGCTGCAGTCTTTTATCATCACCACTAAGTGCTTCAAGTCGTCTTTGCTTTTAGCAGCCAAGGCTGTCATCTGCATACTGCAGCTTGATAATGAGTCTCCCTCTAATCCTGACGCTGTGCTCTTCCTCATATACTCAAAACCAAACTCACTGCCGTCAAGTCGGTTTGAACTCATGATGACCCCACTGGGTTTCCAAGGCTGTACATCTTTACAGAGGCAGACCACCTCATCTTTCTTCCACAGAGTGGTTGGTGGTTTTGTAACACTCACCTTCTGGTTAGCAGCCAAACACCTTAACCACTGCACCCGTAGAGCTCCCCCTTCTTCATATAGTCCATATACATATACATATACATACATATATATATATGAATACACACACACACACACACATATCTTAAAAACATGTAATGGAAAAAAAATGTGTAATGGTTCTATTTTTTCAACACTTCTGCATGATTAAGATTTTGTAAAATAAAAAATTAAAAATACAGGAAAATGCATAATGCATCAATTGTCCCCACTCCAAAAATGTACCAACATCTCTATAGGCTCTGCCCTACTGTGTGCAAAGAAGAAACCAAGTTCCATTGCATTTGCTGGTCCTCTTCCTCTCATGCTGTGATTCTCCCCTGCCTGCCCCGTCTGCCCCACCCTGCCCAGCAACCATGTACTGACAGGTCCTGAGACATTACCCATGAGGTGGAAATGGAAGTGAAGAGGACGCAGGAGATGAAACGAGCCTCAAACTTCCCTGAGAGCGACATGGAGTTTATAAAGAGCTGGCTGGGCTCACGACTATAGTCTATGGCACCTCATGTGTTTCTCTTGTTAGGAAGCACATGGTGAAGTTAAATAAGAATTAAAATGCATCATGGTAGCTATTAAGTAGTGAAGGGGGCAGCTATTATAGATGGGGAGAGAATTAACTCAAAATAATTCATTGCCCTTGAGTAGATTCCAACTCACAGAGACCCCCCATTGATTTCTGAGGCAGTATCTCTATGGAAGTAGATTGCCCAATCCTCCTTCCGAGGAGTGGCTAGTGGGTCTGAACTGCCAGCCTTCTGGTTAGCAGTCAAATGCCTTGACCACTATGCAAACTTTATTTCTGCTTACATGTATTTTCTCTAATAATCATGTTTTGCTATTGTAAATATAAATAATTTTTACTTAAGAAAAAAAACCTGATCATTATGTATCCACAGGGAACTACCCAGTACAGCTGCTCAAGGATCTTCCAGTGTCAATGAAGTCAAACATAATGCTAGACAAACTTGCTCTCCTGGTATGGCCAATTTATTCATAAAGTTAGTTTAGGCACATAGGAGATAAAGGATTGAAATCCAAAACATTTTCTTGTATCACAGAGTCTCTGGAATTTAGAAAAACCAAGTTTCCTAAGAGGTCTGGTGAAACTCAAGCGCGACCCCTAGTGGGCTCAGGGGTGTCAGACAATTTCATTGAAGAAGATGAAAACACTAAGACAGTTGCAGACTCTCATTTTATCATCATTTGCGATGGTAAACTGTGTTTTTTGTCTACCTAAAAAAAGGTGGCTGTGGTAGTTAAGTTTGTGTGTCAACTTGGCTAGGCCTGGTTGAGTGGCTGGGCAGCTGGATGTAGTATTTCCCATGATGGGACTGGTCATCAACTCCATGGTGGAATCTACTGGGAGCAGCTGAGTGGCTGCTCTAGGGATGTGGTCTGCTTCCTGTATATAAGGAGAAGCCTTGGGAAATGGTAGCTAGCTTATGGAACGCTTGAACCTTGCATGTAGTTATGTTGTTGTTCAACAGTCTGCCATGCTCTGCCAACCTTGGGACTTTCAATGGACTTGAATTGATGGCCTGCCGTGTGGTGTGGTGTGGTAACATCAGGACTGTGCCATTTTGTTTGTCAACCTTGGGCTTGTCAGCCTCAGCAGCCAGTAGCTGTTTGAGTGAAGAGATCCCTTTAGCTTCAGTGGGCCGGGAGCAAGAGGCAGAGCTAAAGCCCAAGGTCGAGGGGCTTTCATACAGCGCCTAGAGCCTGGCACTTTGAACTCGGACTTAAAGCCTCCAAATTGTAAGAGAATAAACTCCTGTTTGTTAAGGCCATCCCACTTGTGCTATATATTCTTGTCAGAGTGGCACTAGGTAACCAAAACAGAGTATGGTAGCAGGAGTGTGGTGCTGCTCTGACAGATACCTAAAATGTGGAAACAGAAGTGAAGTGCGTCCTTGACCCGAGACCCCAGCATACTGCATGAGAGATAGGAGCAGAGTCCGGAGACTGGCATGAGATGGTGATAGTCTTACCAGCCCACTGAGAAGAAAGCTGGATGCCACTGGGTAGGTGGCTTCCTGCCAGAGTGGGTTGCCTTCGGGCATTAATTGGTAGAAGAGACCAGCATGAAATGGAGTAGCAGGATGCCTGGCCCATGGAGCAAGAAAGCTGAGTGCTTTTTGGGCAGGAAGATTTCCTCTAGAGTGGGTTGCCTTCAGCATTAATTGGCAGAAGCAGAGAGACCAAGGAAATGGAAAGCAGAGCTGCCTCAGCCTCAAGGGTAGGACCCTGGCCTTTGGGGGTGGAACCACCACAGCCCCCTAGATTTCAAAGAGCCAGACCTTCTTCACCAACTTGGTTCTGGAGTGTGCGGCTGCTTGTTCATGTAAGCTAGTGAGATGGAGTTAAGCCGCTGCCCAAGAGTGAGGGGGCAGGGCTGTCATGCCCAGGAGGTAGAGGAACAGGGCCCACCAGGCTAAGGGGGTGAAGTCACCACTCAGGAACTAGGGGACTGGAGTCACACAGTGAAGAGATCTGTACAGATGCAACCCAATGAAGATCTGTACAGGTGCTAAGTTGACAAGGGGTGGAACTGTGGTGGTCATATATGTGTGTGTCAACTTGCCTAGGCCTGGTTGAGTGGCTGGGCAGCTGGATATAGTATTCCCCATGATGAGACTGGTAATCAACTCCATGGTGGAATCTACTGGGAACAGGTGAGTAGCTGCTCTAGGGATGTGGTCTGCTTCCTGTATATAAGGAGAAGCCTTGGGAAATGGTAGCTAGCTTATGGAACGCTTGAACCTTGCATGTAGCTGTGTTGTTGTTCAGCAGCCTGCCATGCTCTGCCAACCTTGGGACTTTTAATGGACTTGAATCAATGGCCTGCCATGTGGTGTGGTAACATCAGGACTGTGCCATTTTATTTGTCAACCTTGGGCTTATCAGCCTCAGCAGCCAGTAGCTGCCTGAGTGAAGAGATCCTTCTAGTTTCAGTGGGCTGAGAGCAAGAGGCAGAGCTGAAGCCCAAGGTTGAGGGGCTTTCACACAGCACCTAGAGCCTGGCACTTTGAACTCAGACTTAAAACCTCCAAATTGTAAGAGAATAAACTCCTGTTTGTTAAGGCCATCCCACTTGTGGTGTATATTTTTGTCAGAGTGGCACTGGGTAACCAAAACAGTGGCAATTGTGTTACACTGAAACTTATGATTCTGTAGGCCTATACTTACAAACAATTTGCTTTTATAAAGGTACTTGCTTCTCCCGCTGGAATCTTTCACTTCTTTACTGAACACTAAGGACATTTCAAAGAGGAAGAGATGCCGTTCTCGACCCTTCCGAATTAAGGTTTTGGGGTCCCACACTTGGAAGGATTCCTGCAGGATGAGTTCTCCCTGAGACTCAATGTTTTCGTCGAACCCTGCAACATGAAGGACAGGAGGCACGATCAGTTTGAAAGCATAAACACACAATGCACAGAAAGCATGATGGGCATTCAGACGCTTGTGAAACACCCGTCACTGAGTCTCAGGGTGTCTACCTTGTCTGGAACACATTCTCAATGTGTCCAGTGTGCGCCTGCCCACCTACAGATACATCTCAACCCAGGAAGGCGTGGTGGCCGCAGCACTCCTCTTCACTCTGCTGTTCCTTGCGACATCCAGTCACCACATGGCCTTCAATGACCTGCTGCACTGCCTCTGCCCACCCCATCCTGCACACGCCCATGCTACCCCCGGTCCAGGTTGCCGACACCCCGACCTACCACATTTCCCAAATGGGCCCTGACTCACTTCCCCACCTCTGATCCATCCCACCCATTAATTCTTAGGAAGACACCACTTGACGTATGTTTTTCCTTGTTCAAACTAGTCAGTGATTCCCACAGCCTTACTCTTAAGTTCCGTTCCCTTAGTTTGACACGTCACTGAGTGCCACCAGGTGCCACCGTGTGCCTGCTGGTTCTTTACTGTCTGCACACAGCAGGCACCGTGAGCCTCCCCTTCTGTGCAGAGGGCTCCATGGGCTCTTTCCAGCCCACCGTCTCAGCCCAGCCTGGGTCTTGACTCCCTTTGCCTCCTCAGCCCAGAACGATCTTCCCAGACATGCTGCTGAAGCTCCAGCCTTTCTTGAAGGCCCTGTTCTCATCCTTCTCGTTGGCCACGCTCCTTGACTCCCGGGCCCTAGCACACCCTCCCTCCCTTACACGCCAGCATTCTCTGGGTGTCAGTCATGTACGAGCTGCACACTGGCTCTCACTGCAGCTCCTCTCTCCACAGCCAGGCCACTACCTTATCCCATGGACCCCAGTCTACCAGGGCTAGCAGAGCACATACCTGGGGGAGAGGGTGCCCCCGACAGCAGAAGACCCTCTTATGGTGGCACCAAAGGACAACTACACTCCCACCATTTTTGCAGCCAGGAGCCGCCAACCCTCTGGCCAGTGCAGGAGAGCTGTGTGCACCACCTCCCTGTCCTTGCTTCCCACTTCCTGCTAGATGGAATGTTAACATGGTCTTGAGACATCCTAGTAATGTCTTGGACACTGGAGTAACCAATCAGGGCCACATCCTAGGACTGGAGAGAAACTAGCCATACTGAGCCCAAGTCCTCAATGGTGTCATAAAGAACTGCCACCAAGCTCTGGAATTACACGACAGGAGGACATCTGTGTGTGCCTGGCCTCTGATTTTCAGGTCTCTATTAACTGAAAGGTTGGAGGTTAAAGGCCACCCAGAGGTCCTCAGAAAAAAAGCCCAGTCATCTGGCTCCAAAAAAGCAGCCACCGGAAGCTCCGTGGAGCAGCCCTCTGACACATCAGGAACTGCAGCTGCCTCAGCGGCAAGGAACTTTTGTCACACACAGCAGCAGGCATTTTGTAACCAACCTAGAGCTCAACGCGACTGATGGTAACGACAGACCAGCAAAAGCATCGGAGGCAGGACTACTCATGGGAAATGAGCCTGGGAAATCTGATGTAAGAGGTGACCTCTGTACCAAAGAAACAGCTTTCTGAACCAGAAGCATGTATGGAAATTGTAACTGCTCTAATAATTGTTTAACACCTCCATCTAATTATCTTTACCAAGCAACAGCACACTCAACTGCATAAGAAGTTAAGTGGCACATACTACGTCCAAGTCTCTAGGCACATGATGCAGCAGATACAGAGAACGGGAGCAATGACCTCTTTTAAGGACTTCAAGGCCTTGGGGATCCAGCCAGCCAGCCTCTAACAAGGGGACCAGGTGGCTCCTGGGGTACAGAGCACAGAGCACCCACCTTCCAGGGACGCACTGAGGTAAAGCTTTTACTGAGGAAGAAGCTCTTTATGCGGTCCTTAAGAGAAGCAATGACAGCAGTTCTTCTAAAAAGATATCCACATCTGAACTCTCAAGCACTAGCTATACACAGAGGCCTGGAACTGAGATGCTCAGGGTGCAGGAAGTGCATGTACAGACAGCGTCGGCAAAGTCACACAGCATGTGCGCATGGGCCGCGGAAGGCCACTTACCCTCCAGGGTGCAGGAAGTGCATGTACAGACAGCGTGGGCAAAGTCAC